GGATAGTCCTCAAAGAACGAATAAACCTGCCTCCTCGGTAATGACATGGTCTGGTCTTAGCATAACTCCTCCACTCGTGTAAGCAGCTCCTCTCCCACTTTCCTGGTTCAAAGCAACCATGGAGGAGGGAGGAGGGAAGGAAGGGGACCATGGATCCTCTGCTAGCGAAGGCAGCGGATTTTCTCCTCCCAGGCTCCCTTTGAAGCAGCAAAGTGGGAGGGGAGCAGCTTACACTCGTGTAAGCAGCCCCTCTCCCACTTTCCTGCTTCAAAGTGGAGGGAATCTGTTGCGAGCCTTCCCTCCTCCATGGCTTGCTTTGAAGCAGGGTGCAGGGGTGCAGGGGGGAAACAAGGCAGGAAATAGATGCCGGGCAGGAAGACACAACCACACTTTGACCACTGGAAAGTCCACCTCAGCCTCCCCAGATTTCCACGGAGACGGCCAGGCTAATCTCGATGGCCATAAGAGCTGGAAACTTACATGGGCTGTTTATTTAAAGATGAAAACATGCACTCATGTGAAAGAAATTCCCCCAGGTTCCTGGACACAACCCACACTTGATATTCACACAGGTTACATGGATGGCATTGGCAACTGGAGGAGCAGCATGGTTAAAGAGCAAGTCCTGGTTTCAAGCTGAAGATCAGCTCTTTCTTGGTGGCCTCAAACAATCCTTTGGCTGCAAGGGGAATCCCTCCCTCCCTTAATTCAGGATGCTACAGTCTACAGATGCTGTGGCTGCCTGCCCTTTCCCCTGAGCTGAAAAAGCACCTTCAAGAGGGTGATGGGAGGTGACACAGTCGTCTTCCAGATGTGCAAAGAACCACCCTCGCCACACTAAACGTGACAGCAAGCCTCACACTCAGATCTGAAGCATAAATGGAAACCTAGGAAGCTGCCTTATAAGGAGTCGGACCCACTACTCCATCTGGCTTAGTAATGTCAACACTGACTGGCAGCAGTTTGCCAGAGTTTCAGGCCTGGAGAAGCCGGGGATTGAGCGTGTGGTGTTCTGCATGCAAAGCCACTGAGGTTACAGCTGTTCCCTTTAAAAACAAACTAAGATTGTAGTCCTCATGGTTCTGAAGAAAGGGCTAATTTAAACAGGAACAGAGGGACCTTCCCTGTACCACATCAGGACCCCTGAGCCCATTGAGCTCAGTTTTGTCTGATGGGCAGAGGCTCGCCAGGGTTTCAGGAGACCCACCCTCAGCCCTACCCGGAGAAGCTTGCAAGGACTGAACTTGGGATCTTCTCCATGCTCTGCCCATTGAGCTGTGATGGCTCCCTCCCCTCCTCCTCTGCAGGAGGCCTATCTCGGCCTGTCATTATAATGTATAAATGTCAAGGGCTTTGAGATGCATATAAAGTCAGGCTCAGCATTATTAACTGGACTTAGATAAGCCATGGTTCCCCTTCCTTCCCTCCTCTGAGGCTCGCTTTAAAGCGGCAGCTAAAAAAGCCAATGCAATTCTGGGCTGCATCAATAGGAGTATAGCATCTAGATCAAGGGAAGTAATAGTGCCACTGTATTCTGCTCTGGTCAGACCTCACCTGGAGTACTGTGTCCAGTTCTGGGCACCACAGTTCAAGAAGGACCCTGACAAACTGGAACGTGTCCAGAGGAGGGCAACAAAAATGGTCAAAGGCCTGGAAACGATGCCTTATGAGGAACGGCTAAGGGAGCTGGGCATGTTTAGCCTGGAGAAGAGGAGGTTAAGGGCTGATATGATAGCCATGTTCAAATATATAAAAGGATGTCATATAGAGGAGGGAGAAAGGTTGTTTTCTGCTGCTCCAGAGAAGCGGACACGGAGCAATGGATCAGTGGCGTAGCGTGGGGGGTGCAGGGGGGGGGCGGCCGCACCGGGTGCAACATCTGGGGTTAGGGCAAATCCACGGGTTAGGGGGCGCAAATCCACGGGTTAGGGGGTGCAAATTACTTGCCTTGCCCCGGGTGCTGACAACCCACGCTACGCCACTGCAATGGATCCAAACTACAAGAAAGAAGATTCCACCTAAACATTAGGAAGAACTTCCTGACAGTAAGAGCTGTTCGACAGTGGAATTTGCTGCCAAGGAGTGTGGTGGAGTCTCCTTCTTTGGAGGTCTTTAAGCAGAGGCTTGACAACCATATGTCAGGAGTGCTCTGATGGTGTTTCCTGCTTGGCAGGGGGTTGGACTCGATGGCCCTTGTGGTCTCTTCCAACTCTATGATTCTATGATTCTAAGCTGCTTTAAATAGTTTAGTACAACATTTGATTCAGAATATTTTTGTGTGTGTTTTCCTCCTCTAAAAACTAGGTGTGCCCTATGGAGTGAAAAATAATCCCCATCCCCAACTAAATGTTTTTCCCACCCCCAACAAAGGAAAAAAACCAACACCCAGCATTTAAAGTGCCACAGATTAAAAACCATTTTAAAAGATTTGCCCCAGCCCCAGAGTTTCTTCCCGTGAGTCTGGGCTCCCCAGGACTCAGAGCAGGGCAATGTCCCTCCGGCCCCCCAGGAGTCTCTTCTGTTGAGCAGGGGGAGTCTGGTCCTCGCCCCCCCCCCAGGCCAGGTGGGAAAAGGCCTTGCAGGGAGCAGGTCTTCCTTCCAGCACTCAGGGCAGCAGCAGCAGCAGCAGACTTGGAGATTTGAAAGGATTTGAGGTGATGCATCCTCGGTCTGCGTCTCATGTGTTCTGTGTTTTAAAGGTCTCTGAGATCTCTTGATGAAGGGAGGGAGATGCTGAGAGTCCAGCCAAGAGCCTCACCCCCAAAAGGGTATCTGGCCATTGGCGTAGCCGGGGTGGGAAGCTGCCCCCCTTAATTCATTAAAAATAATAAGAATCTGAGGTTCTGCCAAGCGAGAGAGGGCTGAGCTGGGGGGGGCGGACACTCGGCTTTGAAAGGGTTAAAGGGAACTGAGCTGCTTTCCTAGAGAGGCCAGGAAGCAAGGGGGGGCAGATGCTCCAGAGCCAAGGCCCCCCCCTCCCCAGTCCTTTCCTGCTTTGGTGTCTCTGCTGCAAGGGCTGCCTCGCTCTCCCTCCTGGGATCTGGTGAGTCTCCTCTCTCCCCCCCCCAGAGAGGGTGCAGTGGGGAGACGGTGGGGGGTCCCAGGGCTGCAGCAGGGGAGGATGCCTGGGGGACCTGATCTGCTCAGGTGGGGGGGGACCCCAAGTCAGGGGTCCTGCAGATCAGAGGATCAGAGGATCCCAAACTCATTTGGCCATCCGCCCCCCCCTTTCAGAAAAAAATCTCCCTTCTTTAAACAAAGGAGTCCCTGGGACTTTAACTCTGTGTGACATCTCTCAGCCTCACTGCACAACAGAGGAAACATCTGCAAATGGTTTTCCAAAGCTGGACGAGGAGGTGGACTAGCCCCCCCCCCCAAAAAAAAAAATAAACCACAGGGAGGGAGGAAAGGAAAGGTGGGAGAGAGAAGCCAGGAATAAAGAGAGGGATCCCAGCCCATAGCCTGGCTGCTTCATTGGGGGCCAGTTTCCCAGTGTCTCCCAGGGCAGCTCACCACAGAGGCCACTGCAGCAATCCCCTCGCACCCAGAGCAGGGCATCCCAGGACCACATCCTCTCTGCCCCAAAGGGATTGTTGCTGGCAAAGCAGCCGGAAATGGGCGCTGCTACTCCCTGAGCCTCCAGGGACCTGGGCATCCGTGGCTGTGCATGTGTTAAGCTACCTAAGAGAACAATCCTAATAAATTGGCCACCTAAATTTCAAGGGAGGTGTCTTTTGACCCGTCCACTTGGCCCTCGGGGGTTGGCCAGATACATACCTGGCCCTCGGAGCAAAGAAAAAAGGACCCCACCCCAGGAGTCTGTCTGGAAAGCAGCAGAGAGACCAAGTGCAAGAAAAGGAGACAGAAGCAGGGGAGTGGGGGTGGGGGGAGCAACTCCTGAGGACCCCCAGGTGAGGACCCCCACTAGAGCCAAGCATCCATTTCCCACAAGATACAAATGACTCCCTTGTCAGTCAGTTCTGACTTCATTCATTGACTGGAAGGCAGGAGCAACCAGGCTGATTAATCACCCAGAAATCCCTTCCGTTGCCTCCACATTTTCCATTGCAATCTTCCTTCTAGGAGGGCTAGAGGCTGCTTTCTCCTTCTCCTCCTTCTGTTTCTCCTCCTTCTCTTTTTAAAGAAGATCTCTTATGGTTTGGGCTGTGGTGCCATCCAGCCCTTGTTCCTAGCAAGAAGCATCCATGCTTGCTCAGGGAACCATTTCCCCCCCTGTCCTACAAATTCTGTAACAGAACAATGTATTTGCTTTGTAGGATTTGCTAGAGCTTCTCATTAAGACGGACAGAACTTGGCAGAAGACCAAAAGGTTCCTTCCGATCTCTCAGAGGCTCCCTCAGAGCACAGATGGATGAGCAAGATTCAGCTGGCCCTGAAGCAGGAAGAGGCCATGACATCCAAACTGGGAGCAGTGGGGGATTCTGGGAAAACTCTGTGCAGAAGATCCTGGGTGAGGAGGACACCCTCCGCTCAGAGGGGCAGAGCCAACAGTTGAGGCAGTTCTGCTGCCAGGAGGCCAAAGGACCCCGAGAGGTTTGCAGCCGACTCTACCACATTTGCCACCAGTGGCTGAAGCCAGAAAGGCACACGAAAGCTGAGATGTTGGACCTGGTGATCTTGGAGCAGTTCCTGGCTGTCCTTCCCCCGGAGATGGAGAGCTGGGTGAGGGACTGTGGAGCAGAGACCAGTTCTCAGGCGGTGGCCCTGGCCGAAGGTTTCCTCCTGAGTCAGGCAGAGGACAGAAAGCAGGTGAGAGAGACTTTCCTCTGGATACTCCCAAGGGGCTCCAAACAGGACAGAGAACATCCCATAATGCTCTACTGATGGCCCATCCTTTTTCTGAGAAGACATCCATGGAATGAGATCTCACACCCTTCAAGTCCTTGTCATTCTCTTTCTAGTATTTCTCCTCATTCTCTGTTTTGAATCCTTGTTTCTTTCTCAGGGAAAGGATCTCTTTGCAGAAATGGACCTGGATTCCTGTGAGGCAGAGAGGCCTCCGTTGGACACCAGAGAGAGGCCACTGGGTAAGGAGGAAGGTGGCTTTTCTCCGTTTGGTCTCATTCTGCTGGTTTTCCAACTCATCTGAGGGTTCTTTTCATCTTGTTTTGGGGGGAGACAGTTGGGAACAAGGGTCCAGAGGAGGAGAGATGTATTTTTGCACAACAAACATATGAAATGGGCACAAACGTCCAAATGCTCTCAGTAGGTCAGGCTTTCTCAAAGGCCCATCTGTAGTTAGAGATGCCCTGCTTCACCTGTGAGGGAAGAAGAAGAGGAGTTTGGATTTGACATCCCGCTTTATCACTACCCTAAGGAGTCTCAAAGCGGCTCACATTCTCCTTTCCCTTCCTCCCCCACAACAAACACTCTGTGAGGTGAGTGGGGCTGAGAGACTTCAGAGAAGTGTGACTAGCCCAAGGTCACCCAGCAGCTGCAGGTGGAGGAGCGGGGAAGTGAACCCGGTTCACCAGGTTACGAGTCTATTGCTCTTAACCACTACACCACACTGGCTCCCCCATGCTGGAGAATACAAATTACAGAGGCATATGCAGAGGCATCCCCCCACTTAGCTTTACATATCAAGAAATTAGGTCATGTAACAAGGAGAACTACAATCAGACCTGAACGGAAGAATAGTGATACTTAAAATTAAAAGAATTTAGAAACGAATCTGTTGGATTACCGGGAAGATAAAATAATACTACTCAGAGACTTTAATGGGGTAATAAACCCACAACTAGACAGATCTGGAGGGAATAAAGGACACGGGAAATTACATCTAGCTTTGTGAATATGACTGAATAATAATAATAATAATAATAATAATAATAATAATAATGTTATTATTTATACCAAATCTATTTGGATGGGTTTCCCCAGCCACTCAGGGTGGCTTCCAACAAAATATTAAAAATACATTAAAACATCAGTCATTAAAAACTTTCCTAAACAGGGCTGCCTTCAGATGTCTTCTAAAAGTCAGATAGATGTTTATTTCCTTAACATCTGATGCGAGACTATTCCAAAGAGCAGGCGCCACCACCGAGAAGGCCCTCTGCCTGGTTCCCTGTAATCTCACTTCTCACAGGGAGGGAACCACCAGAAGGCCCTCAGAGCTGCCCCTCAGTGTCCGGGCAGAACAATGAGGGTGGAGATGCTTCTTCAGGTCTACTGGGCCGAGGCCATTTAGGGCTTTCAAGGTCAGCACCAGCACTTTGAATTGTGCTCTGAAACGTACTGGGAACCAATGTACGTCTATCAGGACCGGTGTTATATGGTCTCTCCAGCCACTCCCAGCCATCAATCTAGCTACTGCATTCTGGACTAGTTGTAGTTTCTGGGTCACCTTCAAAGGTAGCCCCACCTAGAGTGTGTTGCAGTAGTCCAAGTGGGAGATAACTAGAGCATGCACCACTCTGGTAAGACAGTCCGTGGGCAGGTAGGGTCTCAGCCTGTATACCAGATGGAGCTGGTAGAGAGTTGCCCTGGACACAGAATTGACCTGTACCTCCATGGACAGCTGTGAGTCCAAAATGACTCCCAGGCTGCACACCTGGTCCTTCAGGGGCACAGTTACCCCATTCAGGACCAGGGAGTCGCCCACACCTGCCTGCCTCCTATCCCCCAAAAGCAGTATTTCTGTCTTGTCAGAATTCAACCTTAATCTGTTAGCCGCCATCCATTCTCCAACCGCTTCCAGACACTCACGCAGGACCTTCACCACCTTCTCTGGTTCTGATTTGAAAGAGAGGTAGAGCTGGGTATCAGCTGCATACTGATGAACACCCAGCCCAAACCCCCTGATGATCTCTCCCAGCGGCTGCATGTAAATGTTAAAAAGCATGGGGGAGAGGACAGAACCCTGAGGCACCCCACAAGTGAGAGCCCAGGGGTCTGAACACTCATCCCCCACCACCACTTTCTGAACACGGCCCAGGAGGAAGGAGTGGAACCACTGTGTGACAGTGCCCCCAACTCTCAGCCCCTCTAGCTGGTCCAGAAGGATCGCATGTTCAATGGTATCAAAGGCCGCTGAGAGACCCAGCAGAACTAGAAAGCAACTTTCACCCTTGTCCCTAGCCTGCTGGAGATCAGGCAGTTTCAGTCCCATGATGAGGCCTGAACCCCGATTGGAAGGGATCCAAATGGCCCGCATCCTCCAGGCGTGCCAGGAGTTGTTCTGCAACCACCCGCTCAACAGCATGCCCAAAATTGGAAGATTTGAGACTGGGCGATAGCTGGGCATATTGGCCAGGTCCAAAGATGATTTTTAAAGAAGCAGTTTAATGATCGCCTCTTTCATCAGGTCTGGGAAGGCTCCCCCAGAGAGGGAAAAATTCACCAACCCACAGAGCACTGAGAAAACTGGGTCTTCCCAATCGGATGCCTGGTGCAAGCTAATGACTTCCTAAAAATCGCTGCAACCCTCCCTCCCTGCCCACATGACCTGGGTTGCTGTGCATAAGAGAATCCTGGTGGACAAGCAGCGACAAGGACAGGCCCATCTGCTTCATCCAACCAAGTCTCTGTTACACATGCCAGGTCAAGTCCTCCATCCACAATTAAGTCGTGGAAGCCAGGTCATGGTGTCCCTTGCTGATTCCAACATCCATTCCGGTAAAGACCAGACCTGGAGGCAGGGATAGTTCTCAAAAAGCAACTAAATCTGCTTCCTCGGTAATGATGTGATCTGGTCTTAGTGTAACTCCTCCTCTTACCCGTGATCACTGAGATCGAGTGTCCCAGTGCCCCCCCACCCCCCCGTGGAACCTGCCCCAGCCATTCTGTTGGATGTGGCCCACTCCCAGGCAGCCCTGGCCCTCTCCTCTTAAGAACCAAATGCAAACTATACAAGAACCGAATAAGACAGTAGAAGCTAATTTAAAAAACAACAATACACAACAACTTACATTTATACTGAAATTAAACTAATCCCCAGCACCAACTAAATGTTTTTCCCACCCCCAACAGAGGAAAAAAACCAACACCCAACATTGGAAGCGCCACAGATTAAAAACTATTTTAAAAGATTTGCCCCAGCCCCAGAGTTTCTTCCCGTGAGTCTGGGCTCCCCAGGACTCAGAGCAGGGCAATGTCCCTCCGGCCCCCCAGGAGTCTCTTCTGTTGAGCAGGGGGAGTCTGGTCCTCGCCCCCCAGGCCAGGTGGGAAAAGGCCTTGCAGGGAGCAGGTCTTCCTTCCAGCACTCAGGGCAGCAGCAGCAGCAGCAGCAGCAGACTTGGAGATTCCACCTGTCTCCTTTGAAAGGAGGAAACTCACCTGAGAAAAGAATTTGAGGTGATGCATCATTTGTCTACTTTTAATACGTCCTATGTTTTAAACGTCCCTGAGAGCTCTTGATGAAGGTGGTATATCAATTAATAAATAATAATAACAACTGCCATGCATTTTTTGTCCATTGAATCAGCAATTCAGCATTTCTGGAAGGCGAAATAGCATACAATTCTTATAGGAATTTTAAGGTCCTATATATATATATATATATTATATATAGGTTGGACAGTGTTCTCGAAGCTACAAACATGAGTCTGACCAAACTGCGGGAGGCAGTGGAAGACAGGAGTGCCTGGCGTGCTCTGGTCCAGGGGGTCACGAAGAGTCGGACACGGCTAAACGACTAAACAGCAACAATATATTTTTAAAATGTTCATAACTGTATATATAAACCACATGTCTGAAACCTCACAGAAAAGGTCCTGAACAAACTGACCTCAAATATTTCTCTGCAAGGTCAAAGTGGGAAACCTCCCCACTGTCTCTTTCCTCACAAATCCTGTCTTAAGGGCACATTCAAGATATGAACAGGGTGTCAGCCTGTGACTTGTGACCTAGATTCAGGAATTAGTTATCATAACAAAAGAGTGGCCAGGATGGCATTTAATCCAATCTGCTAACCTGCCAGACAGGAAGAAATAACACACCCAGATTTCTGCTCCTTCTCTGATGTATTAAGGGGGTGGTCTGGGCTGCACCCCTTCTGTGATATATTCTGTGATGTATTTATAATGCTTCTGGCGGTGGTTTTGTTCTCCAGGGCAGGCAATTTCCTGTGCAGGGGGGGGGGGAGCACCCTGTTGCAACAGCTTTAATAAAGATCAGGCTTACTAGCTCCCTTGCTTCTCAATATTCTCTGGTTGGCCTCTGTTATTTTCTTCTACTGATAGAGAACCTAAAATGAGGACTCTATTTGGGCTCTTGGGTACCCCATAAAGGAAAAAGAGCAGTTTTTTTTCTTATAACACCATTGTATATTAGCATTAAAAGCATGCATAAGGAAGTATTACTCATTCCTAAAGAAAATATGATTTATTTATTTTGAACTACACCACGCTGGCTCCTGGCGTCCTGTTTACCTTTTTTCTCTTGCAGGTGACAGAAGGATGCCAGCAAAACCTCCTTATCCGTCTTTCCATGGGGGCAGAAGGGAAACAGCGGCTGTGGAACCAGATCAGGTCAGGGGAAGCTGCCTTGTGGGGACAGAGGCCGAGGGATGGAGCAAAGTCATGGACTAGTTGGGCACAGAGGAATGGTGGGAGGAAGCAGCCGGGGAACCAGGAAGGGAAGGATGAGTGGTCAGTGGGAGAAGCCTGGGAAGAGGAGGTGTCAGAAGCTGAAGGGGTAACAGGGCTTAGTGAGCTGGGATACTCTGTGGCAGAATGCAGTGCAGAATCAGAGGCAGAAGAGGGAGGAGGCGAGTGGGAGGAGGGAGGTGCACTGTTGGATCGCTTGGAAGAAACCCCAGAGAGGAGGGGACTTGGAAAGCTGTGGGGAGTCAGGAGCCTGTTCTTATATATTTTGGCCAATTTTACCGGGGTAAGGTGCCATCTGTACTGCATTTTCACAACATTTTCTCTGAGATTGTAACATGCAGTAAATCTAATGTCCTCCTTCCATAATCTCTCCCACTGCTTCATGTAGATCAGGGGTGGCCAACCCCAAAGGGAATACAATCTATTCACAGAATTAAATCTACCCGTTGGACATGCCTGATGTAGATGTTATGTCCGAGGTCTTGGGCCCAATGTATCTTTGCTCCTTTCACCTCTTTGTCTTTTACCTCTCAATTGAGGAGGAGGCTATACAACTTTGAAATGTATTTTCCATTGGATTGAATTAATTCTTTTTCCAATTTTGATGTTTCCGTTGCAAAACCTTTATTTTTATCTATACTTAATCTCTTTTTTTCAAATGATATTTATTAAAAGTTTAACAATTACAAAAAAGGGGGGAAAGAGACAATAAAAAGTTACAATACATCAAAAAATAAAATAAAAAGCAGAATAAAAAACAATACAGCACAACAGATAAAAAGAAAGAAAAAAGGGGGGGAAACAACATTTAAAAACAGAAACATTTAAAAACACATCCAATATTTCCATGTCTTTATCTTTCATTTACTTGTTTCATCGACCTCCTCACACCTCCCTTTTTTGTATTCTAATTCAATTTAACTATTTCAGCAAATCCATTCCATCTTTCTCAATTTTTGTTCTATAAATTACCTTAACCCAATCTGACCTTAAATTTTACACTTTGGCCCATTAACAATCCATTTTTACTTAATTCTTTATAACATTTCTGCTAAAACCATGTAACTTCATTGCAGCATCCTTCTAACATTCATTAATTTTGCTATATTTTTGTAAATATACTTAAAAAAAATTCCAATGTTCTTCCACCGACTCTTCTCCCTGGTCTCGGATTCTGCCAGTCATTTCCGCCAGTTCCATGTAGTCCATCAGCTTCATCTGCCATTCTTCCAGAGTGGGTAGATCTTGTGTCTTCCAGTGCTTTGCAATAAGTATTCTTGCTGCTGTTGTAGCATAAATGAAAAAAGTTCTATCCTTCTTTGGCACCAATTGGCCGACCATGCCCAGGAGAAAGGCCTCTGGTTTCTTCAGAAAGGTCTATTTAAATACCTTTTTCATTTCATTATAGATCATCTCCCAGAATGCCTTAATCTTTGGGCATGCCCACCAAAGGTGAAAGAATGTACCTTCAGTTTCATTACATTTCCAACATTTATTATCGGGCAGATGGTAAATTTTTGCAAGCTTGACTGGTGTTATGTACTACCTGTAAATCATTTTCATTAAATTCTCTTTTAAGGCATTACATGCCGTAAACTTCATGCCAGTGATCCATAACTGTTCCCAGTCAGCCATCATAATGTTATGTCCAACATCTTGTGCCCATGTAATCATGGCAGATTTCACCGTTTCATCTTGAGTATTCCATTTCAACAGCAAGTTATACATTCTTGACAAATTCGTAACTTTAGAATCTAACAATTCTGTTTCCAATTTTGATTTTTCCACCTGAAAGCCTAATTTTTTATCCAAATTATATGCCTCCATTATTTGATAATAATGGAGCCAATCTCGCACTCTATTTTTTAATTTTTCAAAACTCTGCAGTTTTAGTCTATCTCCCTCTTGCTCCAGAATTTCCCAATACTTCGGCCATTTGGCCTCCATATTGAGTTTTTTCTGAGCCTTTGCTTCCATTGGTGACAACCATCTCGGGGTTTTATTTTCTAACAGATCTTTGTATCTTATCCAGAAATTAAACAGTGCTTTTCTGACAATATGGTTTTTAAACGCTTTATGTGCTTTAACCTTGTCATACCACAAATATGCATGCCAACCAAATACATTATTAAAACCTTCCAAATCCAACATGTCGGTATTTTCAAGAAGCATCCATTCTCTCAGCCAACAAAAGGCGGCTGATTCATAATAAAGTTTAAGGTCTGGCAGGGCAAATCCACCTCTTTCTTTAGCATCAGTTAATATCTTAAATTTTATACGAGGCTTCTTGCCCTGCCAGACAAATCTAGAGATATCTCTCTGCCACTTCTTGAAACAGTCAATTTTGTCCAAAATTTGCAATGTTTGGAACAAAAACAGCATTCTTGGCAATACATTCATTTTTATCACAGCGATTCGGCCTAGCAACGATAACTTCAAATTTGACCATATTTCTAAATCCATTTTCACTTCAGTCCAACATTTTTCATAATTATCCTTAAATAAATTCACATTCTTAACAGTCATGTTAACCCCTAAATGTTTCATTTTCTTAACCAGTGTCAATCCTGTCTCCTTCTGAAACTTATCTCTCTCAATCTCATTTAGATTCTTCTCTAAAACCTTAGTTTTCGTCTTATTCAACTTAAAACCTGCTACCTGACCAAATTCTTGAATCAGTTCTAATACTCTTTTGGTGCTAGATTTTGGCTCCTGTAAAGTCAATACCAGATCGTCAGCAAATGCTTTCAATTTTTTCTGTTTGGCTCCCACTTGTATACATTTTACCAATTGGTCCCTTCTAATCATATTTAACAAAACCTCCAGGACCGATATAAAAAGTAATGGAGAGATTGGGCAACCTTGTCGTGTTCCTTTCTCAATCTTAAATTCTTCCGTCACTACATTATTCACAATTAATTTGGCCTTCTGTTCTGAGTAAATTGCACCTATACCGTTTCCAAAACCTTGACCAGCCCCCATCCCCAATAAATTCTTCTTCATAAAACTCCAGGAAATGTTGTCAAAGGCTTTCTCCGCTTCCACAAATATCAAAACTACTTTAGTATTAATCTTCACTTGCAGTTTTTCTAAAATGTTAATTATATTCCTCGTATTGTCAGACAAATGTCTGCCCGGGAGAAAGCCCGCTTGGTCTTTATGGATTTCTTCTGCTAACACCTTTTTTAATCTTTTAGCCAAAATGTCTGCAAAAATTTTATAATTTGTGGGATGTAAACACAGGAGCAGTCAATGACAACATTCCTAGAGTGTACATGTTTAGAACATGGGGGGGATGTCTGTCCAGCAAGCAGGTAAACTTCCTGGGGACGGACTTCCTCCACATGTGACCAGAGGTGGGTGTGGCCTCACCTGTGCAGGTGATGACAAAAAGCACAGGGCAGGCAGCCATCTCTCTCTCTCTGCCATTTTCTTTCGACGAGGAAACACCTAAGGATGCCCTCTTGGCTCCCAGCCAAGAGAGGAGATAAGGCCTATCTTGCTATGAGATAGATTCTAAATCTATGTGACCTTTTTAAGCCTGTCTGCCGTCTGGGATCACATTGTGAACAGGACGTGAGTAAACTCTTTTATACTTTTATGAAGACTGTGTCGTGTCTTGTATTTTAAGAGGGAACTAAAGGGGAAATTACCAGGGTAATTATTATAGAGGTTCTAGCGAACCTGTGCACACGTTACCGTTGCGTACTTAAAGGGGAATGTATATAAACTCTGCTGATATTTTGGGAACTTGTTAGCACAAGTTGGATTAGGATATAATCTCACAATATATCCTCTCCTGCACCCCAGAACATTCCCACAAAGGGTTAGTGGGCCCAGTATTGCATATTTCTGCGTATTTTTGGAGGATTGCATTGGATTGTGATTTTGAGTTGAGTAGTATTTTTCTGAGTTAACTTCCTGGTAAGCACATGGTCCTTTGTTCCATTGTGCAGTGGGGATTAAGCAACCCACCCCCTTCCCTCAGAGTTCACAGTGACCCAAGGCAGTGAAGAATTGTTTTGCATTTTGAGATTTTTGAGATTTTGATTTTAAAATTTTGAGAAATTTTGAAATTTTGAAGAATTTTCAAATTTTGGATTTTAAGATGGCTAGAGCAGCTTTTGATAGTGATGCAAAGCTTGGAATGCCTGTGCTGAATGAATACAATTTCATACACTGGAAGCAGCGCTTGATAGCATGTTTAGATTATAAGCACATTTTGGAAGCTTTAAAGCCTCAGCCTACGGGATCGTCTGAGGAAGATTTAGCCAAGATAAGTACTTGGAAACGCATGAACAGCGAAGCTAGACACATAATTTTGAGTGGACTTCGTGATGAGCAGCTATCATTAATAAATAGCACAGATGATGCATCTCAAATCTTAAGAGATATTGAGCGCGTGTATGGAGAATCTAGCATAAACAGCTTCAGAAACTTGGTGTGTAAATTAACCAGATTGAGGATGAATTCAAAAGAGGAATTCACAGAGCACATCAACAAGTTTACTGAGATTATTCAAAGAATTGATCTGACTCCCAAAGCTTTTGATGAGGATACAAAGATAGCATTTTTGTTATCATCACTTGGACCACGCTTTGGTGCATTTGTAAGTTTGATGGAGCATAGACAAGGTCTGACATTTAAAGACTTGATTGGTTATTGAAAAGAAGAATGCAGAGATAGAGGTGAATCTCCAGTGAGAAATGCTAGAAGCAAGGACAGCAGTTATGCATCTAGGCAATGTACAAAGTCCAAAGAGATGCCTAAGAAAGTGATTTGCTTCAATTGTAACAAAGAAGGACACATTGCAAAGAATTGCAGGGCTCCTAAAGCAAAGAAACCCCACCCCTTTCAGCCAAAAGGGGAAAAGAAGGGGAAATGTGAATGCACATGGTTACTGCAAGAAAGGAACTTAGCTG